GGCTTATTAGGCATGTATTGCTTAAAGCTGACGCGGCCTCTGAACGACCGGAGCATCTCATCAATTGTCACGTATTCTGACAATTCATAATTTTTGCGGCAGTTTTTGCGAAAAATGTTAAACACATCACTAAATAATGCCAATTTGTCTCCATTAGATTTACGCGCTTCTCGTGATAATATGTGATCAAAGCATATGTGTTCAGTTAAAAATTGAAATCGTCTCAACGACATTACTGCTCTGAATAAGTCACGGCCGCGGCCACTTGTATCCCAGAGATCGCAGGCATTTTCATGAACGGATTTATGTACTCCTATAAGTAGCGATAAACCAATCCAAGCCATAACTTCACAATCATTTGTTTGGTGACTGAATGTGATGTTTGATTTGCCGTTTGTTGAACCATTGTTTTTATTATTAATTTTTTGGTTAGTATTTAACACAATTAGAGTTAGCATATCACGAGTTAAATACTGTTTAAATGTGTTTAAAACGTCTTGACAATCGCTTTCAATTAGTTTAGGCCCAGCCTTGAAACGGTATATATTATGCTGTAATGTTTTGGTGCCCGATGTTGTCGATGTCTGGCCACTAGTTGTAAATGTTTGAGATAAGTTACTGTCGTCTGAGTCTGAATAGTATATTGGTTCCGAATCGGTCGCTAAATCACATTCAGAGTTAGAATTGTGTTCACTATTCTCTGTACAGTTTGACATAAGGTCACTATCATTGTCGTCACATCTGTCCAAGAGGTCATTGATGTCTTCATTTGATAGTTTATTATCCATTTTATATTATTATTTGCCGTATTTGTTAGAAATTTCGAAACAATTGCATATCTATTGTAATAAACGATTTATAAATCAAATAATAATAACAATAGCAAACATTCAATAGAAATATAAAACATAATAAATACTTACTAAACATAATTTAGACAGATTATGATACTAATTAAAATAATACTTAGTTACATTGCTATTATCTTAATTATTTATTTGTAAACATACATTGTTTTGTACACTAATTATAATTGTGTACACTATTAGTGCACACAATGGGTTAATATAAACAACAAAATGGTTTCACTTATAAATAACAGTCATCGACATGCGCTCTATCGTAAATAATAATATATTATGTTTTACTGTAACGTGGGTAAAAATTGGGCCAGCGAGTAACGTGTATTGTGGTCAAATAATGGGCCAATGCACTATTTATTCTGATCACAATAAACTTACATTTTGTGTATAGTGGCCTAATAATGTCAAAATCGTTGGTTAAATTATAGTTACGTTTTATCAATTTTATCAAAATTTGATATATATTTAAAACTTTTAATCTCTGAAGCATTCCTGAATTTTTTTATCATTTGAATTATTATTATATTTTTTGTATACATTTAAAGTTAGCAATGGACAATATTCGGCCACGATACACGGGAAGGGATAATTAAGGTTTAGTAAATAACAAATAAAAATCTCATTTATAACTTATAATACATTTTTATAATAATAAAAGAATAAATTATGCAAAAATATTCAATTCAAATAGCAATCTACAATATTTCATCTACACGTGAATTTATAAACAATTTTATTAAATATTTCTAATTAAAATAAAATGTTTTATGTAATATATAGATTTTCCAATACTTGCATGTAATACGAAAGTTATAAATATATTGATAAACATTTATGACAAGTAATTATTATACAAAATAATTAAAGTAATAATAAATATTGTTATAAATATTTATAACAACAAATTAAATATTAATAAGATATTTGTGAATAAAAAACTTATCGAATATACTTTTAATAAAGTATTTAAAATTATGATTAAATAATATTACTTTAAAATAAATAAAGTATTTAATTATATACATTTAAAGTAAATGTTATAATTATAATTAAATTATTTTATTATTAACGAGGTTATCATAGAATTAATTATATATATTTTATGTATTTTCTTTAAATTTATAATTATTTTTATTGATTTTATAGTAAATTATTTAGTTAGTATTTAGTAAATACAATTAATCCTTTATATTTTTATATAAATTTATATTGCAATTACAAAATTTTGACAAGGTAATATAAATTATAGTTCTGCATTTTATAATTATTATAGTAGTAATATACAACAATATTAAGAGTAGACGATTACAAACTACATTATTTTAAACAGAATGCACTAAATTGTTATATAAAGCACTTTATAATAGTATAAAGTTATTATAACTTTAAAATATGTTTTACATTACGTATATTTATTAAGGTTTATCTATAAAGTATATATTTATGTTTTACTTTTAGCATTTACTATCTTTGCAAAAGTAAATAAAAAATTGTATTGATAAATATAAAATAAAATAATTCAATAAAATATATAATTAGCGAAACAATAAAACCAGAAATACATATATAAAAGGTGTTTTTCAATTGATGTAAATTCAATGCATTTTTCAATTGAATATAACTATTTGTATTGAAATTTGAAGAATTTGTGCCAATTGTTGCATAAAACTCATGCTTCCAGTGGTCTATAAGTCCTGCGCTTACTATCCATGAAATGCTAATTAAAAATTTATTTAAAAAATAAAGTACAATTAAGTTTAACAAATCAAAACTTTTACATACATTTTGTCAAACACTTTGATAAACATAAACTGTTTATTAAAGGCGATAGCAATCAAGTCGTAAAACATTTCTTCAGAAACAGGCGGTAAATAATAATTATAATTTTGTTTGAATATTTCATATTCAAGTAAATCTCTATTATTTATAAAAACATAATTTCTATGAAAATTATTCATTAAATTAAATCCTTCTTTCTTTCTGTTTATAAATTTGATTGTTTTATTGAAGTCTTGCTTTATTTTCGCCCCAGATTTCTATTAATAAAATAATATATAAATTAATATATTACTTACATTAATTGTTTAGGACATCTAATCGTAAATCTATATTATTAATGTAATCAATAAGTACAGTGCAACCTCTCTGGGGAAACTTCTCATGGACGAACACCTCCTTTTAAAGAACGGATTTGAAATGTATTTTGGATTATCTATACATATAACAGACCCTCCCTTGGAGGAACCCTCTATATAGTGAACACTTTTGCCGTACAACAGGCCGTTTCTTATGGAGAAGTTGCACTGTATACATATTTTGTTTTAGTGAAAACCGATTATGTTTGTCGATTTGGAAATAGTGTATACTTTACAGTAATATATAAAGATTACATATATTTTGCGGAGTGTTGGCAAATATTCCCAATTTTTATATAATATTAACTTTATTTGTCCATTTCTTTGGGCCGAAAATAATTTGTCCAGTGTTTCAATTGGTTGTGCTGTTGAGGGCAAAGCCATCTGTCCGTAGAGTTCCCCCGAATAGTGTTGTCTCAATACAATTGTGCTTAAAATCCATAGCATTATAACAAATCTGATTGTGATTTGCGATGAAATCCTACGAATTGCTTGTGAAAGCAGTATTGCTATAAAATTGTAGCTAATTTTTAATTGTTTATATTTATTATAGTTGATTGCTATATAAATAATGTTTAACACAATTAATGATAACAATATGAATGACCAGATGTGCCAATCAAACGGTGCCAACAGTGATGTGTTATAATGATTGCTCTGATATACCGGTGCTGTGAAAGAAGATGTAGTTATATAATGTGGATAACCATATAAAACCACTTCTGAGCGACTATTTAAAACACTTATGAATCCAATGCCTAAATCCGATCTCTGTTTACATAATTTAAATTATTGACTATGTTAAATTAAATTTAAAATTTTACATTGTTATGGATCTCTCCAATCAAACCATCCCAAGTATTATCAGCTAATTTGTTGCCCCAACTTCTGTTGCAATCAATTAATTTAAATGTAAAATTCAAACATTGACTTAATGTAATTAATAGGTTTCCTTCAAAGCCATCAATATTTAATGTTTTATTTTTAATATATGCTTCAATGTTTGACATTACGGGTATTTCCTAGGTAAAATATAATATAATATTATAATAATTATAATAATTCAATTACTTACCTCATTGGTTGCCACCAATAAAGTTTTGCCCATTAAATCCATTTTCATATGATTGTTTATTTGTTTAAATTATTTTAAGTGAATCTTTGATTGAAACCATGAAAATAAAATACAGAATAAGAAATAATACCACATAAATAAAATTTGAAATTGCAATTTGTAATTTATAATTTGCATAATTTATTATAAAGTAAGAATATTGTTAATATAAAGTTATGTTAAGGTTATAATCAAGAACAAATATGGAAACAAAATATAGACATAATTATAGTTATTAAGTATAGATTTAAATTACCATTCAATATTTTTGTGGAAAACTTGTAAAATAAATTATGCATTAAAATGATTTACAAATATTTACTTTATGCTTATATAGAATAATATTATTTATATCTGAATTGATTAATAATAAATATAGTTTACAAATAAACTTAACAAAATAAATAAAAACATAAATTAAATATTTTTATTATTGTATTCATAATTGTATTTAATATGCAGTAACCAATTGTATAAAGATTTGACAATAGTTTTCTAACTTTTAAATAATAGATTAATAATAATAGGCTAATAATTAGGTTACAGTAGAATATATGAAAGATTTAATACAATCTATTATATTCTTGTAATGTCTGTTTCATAAACTCAATGAATATCAAACAGTTTTTGTAAACGTAAATGTTTTTATTATAAATTTTTTTCAAAGATTATAATAATTCTAAATTCATTATTAGTCTTCACAAAAGTATTATTATTAATAAATGTATGAATTTATAATGAATTTAAAAAAGATAAATGGCTAAAAAATACAGTAATTTAATTCAGGATTTCCAAAATATTTTCACGAAAACGCTAGTCACAACTCTAACCAATCTTACGCATGAATATTCTGAATATTAATGTTAGAAACATTAAAAACAATGAATCTACACTCTAGCCTCATTTGTACTGTTAAATTTACTGTCATTGTTTAAAATATAAGTCTTTAAATAAACATCACATAAAATTTATGAAAATTACTTTAATAATATGGATTTGAAAGGGAAAGTCGCGTTAATCACAGGTTTGAATATTTAAAATAAATTTCTAATTACTTATAATTTATGAAAACTGTATTAAAGGTTCGTCTTCTGGTATCGGCGCCGCAATAGCCGTAAAGTTGTGGTCTTTGGGCGCAAATGTAGTCATCACTGGAAGGGATGACAAACGCATCCAACAAGTGGTCAACAAATGCCACAAACGAAACAATCAAAGAGCGCTCGGAGTGAGGGCTGACTTATTGGTGGACAAAGGCATCGAGGAATTGGTGGCGAAGACTATCGCAGAATTGGGCAAAATTGATATTCTTGTCAATAACGCGGGCGTCGGCCCGGCTATAGGTTTGAGAGACACAACATCTATGTTGGCATACGATAGGCTCACCAACTGTTATATGAGATGTGTTCAAGTGTTGACACAATTAGTTGTCCCATATTTGGAGATAACTAAAGGCAATATTGTTAACATATCGGGCGTTTCCGGAGTGAAAGCAGTAACTAAAATTAACTCCACTGTCTAAAAATAAATTAATCTAGCATGTTTGTATTTTCAAATATAGTCGGATTTTATGCCAATCTCATACCATATGTCCAAAAGTGCATTAAATATGTTTACTAAATGTCTAGCACTGGGTTTAGGCCCGAAGGGAGTTCGGGTTAATTGTGTCAGGTGAGTATTTGTTTGTGACATAATTCAATTTGTAATAAAATGTCAATTCAATGTTAAGTCCGGCAATGATTCGGACCCCGATTTTTGATACACTAACGGGTAGTGCGATTTGTTGTCGGCCGGCGAGACGTACTGTCGGCTCACTTATCATTTGGGACGCATCGGAGAATCCGAAGACGTGGCCGAAGCGGTCGCCTACTTGTGCTCACCCGCGGCCTCATTCATAACGGGTGCCATTTTGCCCGTCGATGGCGGCAGCTTTTTGTCGCCCGACAATATACGCTTGTTTAGCAGTTTAATCAAAAAACAATAACTACCAAGCTCATTGCTTGCTGTTAATTGCTTGTAGCATTTAATTAAATTTATATTAACCAATATTATATACATTTTTATATCAAATAGTGCAAATTTAAATGAACAATTAAGTAAAGATTGTACCTTGGTAATATAATATTAAACATAAGAAATTATAATTGGCAAATAATATTCAATAAAATAAATCATTAATGACAATAAATAACCATAAAAACATACAGCAAATACATTTCGCAATTGATTTAAATGCAATTCACTTTTGCATTGATTATCATTATATCTGTTAATGCTTTGATAATTGTTGACATGTTTAAAGTAATACTGGTCGTGCCAACGAGGTAATAATCCTACGCTTACAATCCTCGATGTACTATTAATTATATAAAATATAATAAATTAATATTAACCTAATTTAAACAACATTTAACTACATTTCATTAAATTGTTGAATAAATTCAAAATCCCTGTTGAATGCAATGGCAATCAATTCATAGAAAAAGTTGCAGTCCTTGTGAATGGGGGGCATATAAAAGTTGGGCCAAAGTTTAGTAATTCTGATCGTAAGCCATTGTCTATCCGTTATGTAGACATATTTGCCGGGAAAACCGTTTAATAAATCAAACATTTGTTGAAGGCTGTCTATGAATTCAATATATTTTGTGACGTCCTCTTCATTCCCTCTCATCATTTGCTGTAAAATATTAATATTATGAGAAAATATTTTGTGATAGTTTTAATCACAATGGTTTATAGTTTGTTTCCCAGAAAGTTAAGTTTAACCATAGACTTAAATTATACTCCAAATTAAATCCCATAGAGCGTGGGCTGAGTGGGAGGGGTGACCGAATTATTTATACTAGAATTGTGGTTAAAAATTAAAGCTTGATGAGGCAAAATTATATAGACATTATAGAGGAGACGTGTAACTATATTTTGTACATAGATACTGGAATAGTGATGAGAAAGGATTTATATAAAAGTGAATTTGATTATTAATTTTCTAGCAAAATATATTAACAATACCATTGTGGCGATCATACGAGCAGAATGTGACGGTACTAAATTTTTTTTATCTTTTTATCTATTTGTGCCCGAAATAAGTCATCTATAGTTTCAATAGGTTCTGGCTTTAAAGGCATTGATATCCCGGCAAACAATACACCACTATATGTATGTCTCAATACAATTGTCGATAAAAGCCATACAATAATCAGTAATCGTATTGTAATTTGTGATGAAATCTCACGAATAGATTGCGATAATAGTATTGCTATGAAATCACAATTGAGTTTCAAATGTTTATATATATATAAAGAAATTGAATTATATATGAAATACAATAAACCCATCGATAATAGTATTGAAATCCAAATACGTGTATCAAATGGTAGGGTTAATAATGTGTTGTATCGGTCGGTAGTGTTGAGTACGGGTGCTGTAAATGTTGTGGTCTCTATGAAATATGGATCACTAAATGACACCGCTTTATATCTATCAGCTAAGACTCCCATGTTTCCAATACCAATGTCGGCTCTCTATATCATTAAAATAATATTATCTAATAAGGTAATTTACTTTTATAAAATTAATTGCATTATACATTATAATAAACCTCTCCAGTCAACCCAACCCATGTACCATTTGTCAATTTTATACCCCATTCATGATTACAGTCAACTAAACGGTACGTAAAATTGAAACATTGACTTAATGTCCGCAATAACTGTCTGTCGATGCCATCAATGGCTTGTGTTTTATCATTCATATACTGCTTAACGCCTGACATAAATGGCGGACTCTTTAATTAACAAAAATAATTAGATTTTATCATAATTAAATAATTAAAAATTGTAATATTATGAAGACTATTAAGAGTGCATCGCGATCATATAAACCACATTAAACAAAGGTTTTGTGCTATGTTTAGTAATAAATTTTAAACATACCTCGTTTGTGGCCACAATTAATTGTCTACCCATTAAATCATATTTCATTGTTTTAGGTATTAATTTGATTATTTTATTAACAAAAATAATTTACTGTAATTTTAATAAATTTGTAAATATATTGATGAAATACACAGAATTAATTATTTCATGCAAATATATAACAAGGTGTTTGAGGGATATAATTGATAAAAACGGTGAACTAAATATAGATAATAATTATATACGTAGATTTAAAAAATGTATTTAAATATGAAGTAAAAATTGCATCAATAATGTAGTATTATATAATTTAATATAACATGAGCAAAACAATTAAATAGATAAACGATTTAAATTATAATAAATTAGATAAAAGAAATAAATAAAAAATAAACTTTATAATCGACATTTTAATATGGTTTAATTATTATTATTTATATCATTTTGAATTGTAGATTTCTAAGACTATTGTGGTTAATATTTTATTGATAAATGCATTTACAGATAAACAAATATTTATAATTAATATTTACTTATATTATCTATAAATAAATAATACATTTACATAAAACAACCCAATAAAATATATAATATTTTTACTCCATAAATACAAATTGTTGACGAATTTCTAAATTTATATCAATTCAATGCATTTTCAATGTATTGATTATTACTATTGGTGTTGAGGTTTGAGTATATTTTAAAAGTTTCCAAATAAAACAATTGTAACCAATGATACGTAAATCGGGAATTAATTAATCTTGAAATGCTAAATAAAATATACATTAATAATACATGTAATAAGAATTCACTCATTTATAGCGGGCTTCAATATGACCGTCAATGGCGGCAGCCATTTGGCGCCCGACAATATTCTCTTGCCTAGCAAATAATTAACTGCTTAATCTACCATGCTCACCTAGTTTGTAAGCTTGCTCGTTGCTAATCAATTATAGATTTGTATTAAATGTAAATAAACCAATATTATATACAATTTATGTTAACTAGATCAAATTTAAATAAATCAATATTAAATACATTTTTATATAAAATAGTTTAAATTCAAATAAACAATTTGGTAAAGATAGTAATATTGTTAAACATGATAAATTATAATTGGCAAATAGAATTCAATAAAATAAATCATTAATGACATTAAATAGCCATAAAAACATACACTAAATACATTTCTCAATTGATTTAAATTCAGTTCACTTTTGCATTGATCAACATTATATATATTAAATCTTTGATGATTTTTGACATGTTTAATGTAATATTGATTCTGCCAACAAGATATTAATCCGGCGCTTACTATCCTCGAGGTGCTATTAATTATAAAATATAATAAATTAATATTAAATTAATTTTAATTTTAAACAACATTTAACTACATTTCATTAAATTGTTGAATCAATTCAAAATCCTTGTTGAATGCAATGGCAATAAGTTCATAGAAAAAGTTGCAGTCCTTGTAAATGGGGGGCATATAATAGTGGGGCCAAAGTTTGCCAATTCTGATCATAAGGTATTGTCGATCCGTTATGTAGACATATTTGCCGGGAAAACCATTTAACAAATCATATGCTTTTTGATTGCTGTCAATGAATTCAATATATTTTGTGACGTCCTCTTCATTCCCTCTCATCATTTGCTGAAAAATATTTAATTAATATTTTGAGAATACTTTGTAATA